CCTTGCGCAAAGAAGAACGTGTTCTTCAATCCTAGCAGACAAGTTCCAACCGTTGGAATCCATCCCGAGGTGTGGATTCGTGTAGAGGGCGAGGTAATCTTCCTGCCTACAGTGATCGGACGAACACATCAATTGATACAGGTCCCGGATCGATTGAGGTAAGCGTTCTAACGTTTCTACGATTCATAAGAAGCATTGTTCTAGAGTTCCATAAACTTTTGTTTTACATCCGCTGCGCAAACCCTAGAATCGATCTCATAGGAATAGGATTCGCTCTAGAGATCCCAGGAATCCCTCCTGGTTTCTCTGTTTTGATTTCGTAGAACCCGATCACACACGTTTTAGGATTTAAATTATTTGAATCCATGTTTGCTTAGATTTCTATGCATGTTTGATGATTGAATCTAGTGTAGATTGCATGTTTCATGTTGCATAGAATGCAAGAGTTCGAATTTTGGGTGTACAGAAGAATTCTGATCAGTTTCGGGTCTGATCGGGGCCAAGAACGCCGGAGAACGTGATCTGATCACGTAGAAGAACCCTAGACCGTCTGTTCTGGGTAAGCCAGACCGGACGGTCCGGGGTGGCGGACTGCACAGATCAGAACGGATGGTCCGCTCTGGACCGTCCGTTCCGTCTACTGCGGACCATCCGTTCCGGCTAGTTCAGACCGATCGTTCTGCAAGCCTGGAACGTCCGTTCTGGAGGATCCGAGGTCCAGATTCCGAAATTTTTTGTTTTCTAGGTCCGATTACGCAATCGTTGCTTAATCTAATCAACTGTAACTCAAATAGGCATGATTCATTTGTTTGGATGGTCCATAGTGAATGAATGGATGCAACTTAATCAAGATATGGGATATCTTGATTGAGTGGGAGCTTCGAGATTGGGATTACATAATCGAATGGATGGTCTATTCGTATTATGTTAATCGTTGCACATAAACCGGTTAGTTCTAGGAGCTCTACGACTAAAGCACTTGTCAAGGCCTCGATCGTACGTGTCATGGGCCATGCCAAAGCTGTGTGTGCCGTATTATCTTGGTGAGGCAAGATGGAGAAATGGTGGTTCTCATAGCTTGAAAGTAGATGCTTGATTTAAGTGTGGTTTCGAAAATCCCTTATTTATGTAATGCTAAGCGTGTACCTCCCATTACTAGAGCGTCTGTGAAGGCATCGATCATCCGTAACACGGGTCATGCCGAAGCTGAGCGTGCCGGATTATCTTTGTGAGGCAGGGTGGGAAATCGTGGTTTCCACAGCTTGAACATGGTTTACCTTAGGTTAAGTAGTCAGGTTTGACTTGAGACTTAATGGTACACATGAGACGAGTATGCAATGATATTTGATATCATAGTCTCATGAAGGATCTAAGAGTCATATTGGATATGATTGACATTAGATTTCTACCTAAATAGCATAAGGCTGGGTGTAACAATTCACTCTTGGGTGCAGAAAATTATTCTAGGGTTAGTTTTCTTTATGGGAATATAGCTTGTGTTTGCATCTATGTTGTCATTGGTTGATGATGGACTAGCTGGTAGTAGATCATGGATATGTTGACATTGATTGATGATGGACTAGCTGATAGTAGATCATTGATAGAATCTGCATTTGTTTTTGTTCGTTCTGTTTGTTTTTTTCTGTAGGACATGGTATCTATCCTTGAGAAGGATAAATTGATCGGGACGAACTTCTTAGACTGGTATCGGAACTTGAGAATTGTTCTCAAGCACGATAAGAAGTCGTACCTCCTGGAAGGGGCTCTACCACCAGAGCCTGCGCCCAACGTCACGAGAGTCGTCAGAGATGCTTGGTTGAAGCATCAGACTAACGACAATGAGATCTCCTGTCTCATGTTGCTCCTGGAAGGGGCTCTACCACCAGAGCCTGCGCCCAACGTCACGAGAGTCGTCAGAGATGCTTGGTTGAAGCATCAGACTAACGACAATGAGATCTCCTGTCTCATGTTGGGAAGCATGGC